TCAAATAGGAGAGCTTCAGCTTGTTGGTTTGTATACTAAAAGTTTGGCTTTATTACGAACTTATTTTCTCGTGAATGAGAATCATGTTTAGTTTAAATGCATTTATTACATTATAAATAGACATGGTTCATCACAGATATACAAAAAATCATTGGTTCCTTGTAAAACATAACAGCAGCCTAGAGGGAATGGACGGAGTTGGAGTTGGTTGTAGTAACAGGAGGATCATGCTAAGGGATGTTGTTGAGAGGCTAGGTCTCATTGGAGTTCAGTGGTCTCTCTTCCATCTTTTAATGATAGTGTTATTGTTGATTTATTAATATTTTGTGTTTGTTGTACTTTATTGTATCTGAGTGTAGCTTAGTTGAAGGGCCCAAGTGATATGCTTGCCCCAGTTGAGTATGGTTTTATGTGTTTAGTCCCCGTATGTGGTGTTCCTCTCTTTGTTGTATTCGAGACTATTTCTTGCAGCTTGTAAAACATTTTTTCGATTTGAATGCATTCTTATCGTTTCGTAAAAAAAAAAAACCTAGATAGAAATGAAAGAACTATCGTGAACGATTGTGGTGTAATTTTAGAACTAGCCGGTCTTGACTATGAATTGCACTAATACACTTAGATTGTATTGACCGAGCATGCAGATGATAACTTTTTTTACATTGATCAATTAAATAAACTAGACCTTGGTAATTACTCATACCCTTAATTTGTAAGATAATAACATGCACGTACACCAAGTAGATATTTCTTGGATTCACCAAATGTGAAATTTATTTTGCTTAATCAACCTTCTTGATGAGTTGGGAAATAATGTTGTTTGTATGGTGTGTTATTGATTATTTATGGACGCTGTGTGCTAGTGCGCCAGTTTGATGATGTCCCCAAAATGAGCCCAAGAAGGATTATTATACCATGCCCTTCAGGTAGATCGAGTTCCGGTATAATAATAAAGAATTGAGTAGTACTAAATTTGGAGCAAGAAGTTTATTAATTATATTATTAGTAATTCAATTAATTAGCAGAAATTATATCTTAAATATGGGAAGATAAATCGAGTAGATTAATCTGGAGACTCAAATATAATTTGGGGGTTACATATGAAATTTCAATAATATTTCTTTTCTGAAATGAAATATTATTCTTGTGCAAAACCGCACCGAACCGCAAAAAACCGAAAACTGAAAACCAAAAATGTTCATTTATCCAAACCAAATCGCACCAAAATTGGAATAAAAACCGAACCAAAACCGCACCAAAATTTTTGGTTCGGTATGGTGCGGTTTCGGTTAACCGCAAATTAAAAAAAAAAAAAGCACCCAAAATAAAATGAAGCTACATCATCATCATCATCTAATGTGCAACAGTATCAAATCAAAATCCCAAAATTTCAACTGGAAGTGAAAATATAGGGCAAGAAATTAGATTTTAATGTAATATTTTTAATTGTTAATTGTTATTGTTATTATTTATTACTTTACTTATTTATTGTTAATGTTATCCAGCCTAAACGAAAGGCCCAAAATCAGCTTGTATATGTACAGTACAAGCATAACATATTCGGTGTAGTTTGTTTAAAAAAAATATATGCATTCAGTGCGTTTCGGTTAAAACCGCACCATTCAGACACAAAATTGAATCACACGAAAATTTGTGCGGTTTTTCAAAATTCTAACCGCACTTAAAACCGAACCTTTGAAAAACCGAACCACATTTCACCAAATACATCTGTCCGGTTCGGTTTTTCGGTTTTGGCTCGGTTTTACTCACCCTTAAGGTGGACCAGAACCTAAGAAAGCCTAGTCACAAGGGGAGTCCTTAATTAACTCCTCATTAAGGTCCCTGTTGTTACCTATAAATACACCTCATCCTTAATGAATTCGGCCATCCCTCTCTACATACAATTATACTTGATTTTTTATTGTGAGAGAAATCAAGAGCTTAAGAAAATAGATAAAAAGATAGTATCAAAAAGCATAAGATATTCTTCCTTCTTTTCCCAAAATGATTGCGTGAGTTTTGACATTCCCAAAATAAATGGAAGTCGGTTCGTCCGTGTCCCGTAGACTGTGTAAACATCTCATAGCCTGCAAATTTTACACTATAAGCATTCATTCCTAATCTATCTATAGATCCATTGCGCTTAGTATTCATTGATAGACAATTCGAACTAGCACAATCATCGACGTTTTTTACTGAACCCAACACGGTTGAGAGTAGTCTAGTTGCACTTCCAATTCGATGGGTTAATGCTTTACAAATAAGTTCAAATGTATATATGCAATTATGCGAAGAATTGAAGACTAATTATGGGTTAAATGCAAGAGAATAATATGAGTTCAAAAGAAGATTGGTATATTCACATATATCATTGCTTTGAATAATTCAAATAGGGGTTCTAGTGAAAGATTTCAAGAGGAACAATCATGTTACTAAGAAATTATAATATTTGTTTAATAGATGCCTCGTATTTCTTGTAAATCCTCCCTTTTGGTTCGTTGCTCAGCCTAAAAGTGAAGATGGTCGGTCGGTCACTTAGAGTTGTTAATGGCCAATTCAATAAGAGAGCTTTCAACGAATTCAATCCGCTTTGACGGAATTCTTGCACAAAGAGAGCTCGACGTAAACCAAATTGGTTACTTCTAATTACTATGAAATTATAATTCCCAATTAAACATTTTTTGAGTGTTTTGAAGATGTTTATGTGGATGGTCAAATAAAATTCTACAAAATAAAATATTACTTATGGGGACAAATTGTAGTTATATCATGATTGATGGGTGGGTGACCTGTTAAAGTTATGAATAGATCAACGGAATCTTCTATGCTGTGCTATGGTTAACTTTGCCCGAGGAATGTGTGCATTTGAAGATGTTTTCAATAAAGCATCACAATTGTGCTATCCAAGCTGGCATATAGTTGTATTATTATTATTATTATTATTATTATTGTAGTTGGCATATAGTTG